ACACTCAATGGACCCATTAGAACGAGTCTTAATTTTATAAATCCATTTGCAGCCAATAGGTGTCTTATTAGGAGGAAGATCAAAAAGTCCCTAGTATGAGTTTTCTCTAAAGCTTGGAGTTCCTCGGTCATAGCTTGCTGCCAGTGACGGTTTGTGCTTGCCTCGCGATAAGAGCGAGGTTCATGAAGAGTGGCAATAGTAGAATAACAATGAAAATCAATAAGGTGATGTGGAATTTCTCTTACCCTGGTAGAACGACGAAGATTGGTGTCAAGGGCAGGCGTAGGTGCAGGTTCAGGATCAGCAGTTGAAGTAGATTCAATAGGAATAGGTGAGGAAGGTCGAATGTTGACTGTATCAGAGTCACATATATTAAAACTTGGAAACAACTCAGTTGAGGGATCAGTGAAAAACATATAATCAATATTAATAGATTTATAAATTTAGAAAGGGTTGAAAACATGGTATTTTCCCAGAAGGTAACATGACGAAAGATACGCAATTTATTTGAAATAGGATCCCAACAATGATAACCTTTGTGTTCTATCCCATACCCAAGAAAACAACACAACTGGGCACGTGGTTCCAATTTCGTACGTTCATGGGATTGTAAAAGAATAAAACCGACACAACCAAAAGGTTTAAGGATTAAATAGTCAGAAGGTTTACCAAACAATTTTTCAAAGGGTGATAAATTTTGGAGAGCCAATGAAGGAACTCTATTAACACTGTAGACAGTAGTAAGAGCCGCTTCTCCCCAAAATTTTTCTGGACATGAGGCAGAAAGAAGAAGAGCACGAACAGAATCAAGAATTTAGCGGTGTTTTCGTTCAGCACGTCCATTTTGTTGGGAAGTGTAAGGACATGAGCATTGAACGATAGTGCCTTCTTGACTAAGAAATTGTAGTAAGGTAGAATCCCAATATTCCATAGCATTATCTGTTTGAAGAATTTTAATAACAGAAGAAAATTGAGTTTTAATCATATTAGCAAATGAAATGTAAATTTGTGGTAGTTCAGATCAAAGTTTCATAAAAAAATATCCATGTAAAACGAGAATAATCATCAATAAAAAACGCAAAATAACAAAAACCATTCACTGAAGAAATGGGGGCAGCCCCCAAATGTCAGAATGAATTAAGCCAAAAGGACAGTTTGAAATAGAACCACTATTATTAAAAGACAGGGCAAGTTATTTTGCAAGTTGACAATTTAAACAATTAAATGACTCAAACTTTGTAGATCCTAACAATCCACGAGAAATTAAAGGCTGAATTTTGCTAGCTGAAGCATGACCGAGACGAAGATGCCACTGGTGAATAGAAGAGTTGGTGGTTGTAGCAATGGAAAGAACTTTTTGAGGAAGATAAAGAGAGTCAATCTCAAATAATCGACCCACCCTGCGACCTTCCCCAGAATCTGTCTCGTTTGTGGATCCTGTACCTAAAAACCAAAAGGAGAAAAGTTGACATTTAGACCTGCTTCACATAACTGACCAACAGAAATAAGATTAAGGGCCAAGTTAGGGATATAGTAGGTTTCAGGAAGACTAAGATTGGAGGCAGATACATGTCCAGTGTGAGTAATATTCATTTGACTACAATTGGTAGTATGAATTGGTGGCAAGGAAGATACAGGTGTTGTAGAAGACAAAAGGTTAATATCAGTCGTCATATGGTTACAACATGTAGAATCAAAAAGCCAACAAGATTTACCTGGGGTGACAAACATGGCAGTAGGAGAATTGGAAGATATAACCTGTTTGAATAATGCCTCAATATCACCTATGGTGAGAGTAGTAGAACATTCAGTGGCAACAACAGTGACGGGTTTAAATCCAAGGTTCGAAAAATCCTTGGATTTAGAGACCCCACCCTTTTGTCGCGGAGGATAAGTTGGGCAATTTTCAAGAATATGACCTAGAGCATGACAATATCTGAATTCAACAGTAGGATAATTAGCAAAGACATGACCAATGTTATTACAGTTCTTACAGATGTGGCTGTCAGATTTCTGAAAGGATGGGCGAGTAGTAGCAAGAGCCATTTTAGAATTCTGAGTTTTATCAAGATTAAGGCGAGTTTCCTCAAAAATGAGTTCTTGTATAGCCATATCCAATGTAGGAAGAGGATGTCGGTGTAGTAGAGAGGCTCAGACAGCTTCATATTCAGGTCTAAGAGCCATAAGAACTTGAATAAGATGAAGATGATCTTCAGTGATTTTTGCTTATGTTATTTGATTCCAAATCGATTGAACTTGAGCAAGAAAATCATTCACAGATTGGCCATATTCTTGTTTGAGATTATGAAGAGTAGTGCACAATTGAAAATAGTGAGCAAGTCCAGTAGTTTGATATCGATTGGCAAAGAAATCCCAAATTTCTTTTGCAGTGTCATAATCAACAAATTGGATGTGAATAGATGGAATAGAAGTATTATGGAACCAACTAATAATCTCATGAATTTTACTATCCCAATCTTCAAGACGATCAGCAAATTTGGCTTCAGTTTCAGCTTGATGTTTGGTTGGCTTAGTAATATCTCTAGTAACAATATGCCAAAGATTACGACCTGAATAAACTTTTCATTCCTTGGGCCCACAGATTATAGTTTGAGCCAGTTAAAATGGTTGCATTGGATTTTGCAATCTCAAATGTCTCCATTTGGAAGTAGAGGCCAAACAGAAAAAGAAACCACAAATGTCGAAACAAAAAAAAAATATATTAGAGAAAGAGCTTGATAAGTGACGTGAGTTTCAGGTTTGAAGGTTTGAATGAGAAATGCAGAAAGTGTAGATAATGTAGAAAATACAGAAGCAGAAATCAGCCCTTCTTTGGCTCTGATACCATATTATGAAAGAAGAAATTTACATTTCTTTGTGTCTTTAATTGTACAATGAAAGCACATATTTATACAAGAAAATGGAAAACTAGAAAGGAATCCTAAAAGTCTGCCTATAATTCTGCATATTTACATCCTAGAATCAAGGCTAAGATTTCTGCTAACACTCTCCTTTCTCGAGCCAAGTTTCAAACAATTTACGAGCAATTTGATTTATTTCATTTGAAGCCCTACCATTTAGATTTTTTACTTTTACGAACATCGACAATTTTAAATTGGAATTTGCCTTTTATCAATATCAAATATTAGTAAAACTATTTGGTGTGTATATAGAATGAAAAAAAAAGTCAAAAAGAAAAACGAAAGAAAAGTTAGCACGAGTATATTAACTTATTGAAACTCAAGTTTTTTTACCTTTAAGAAAATGCCACGTGTCATTCATGTAGTGGGTGTGATATTGCCGTTTGAGTTGGTGATTGTGGGGCATGAGCCCTTAATATGGACATTGGGATATTGGCGGGATCGAATTTGACAAAGAAGTTGAAAATATTGCCAATGATGTGTGTGTATATATATATATATGATTATGAGAAACAAGCTTAGGGGAAGACCTTTAGGCTTTATGTTGTGTATGCAACTATTTGTATAAATTGCATATGGAAAGGCTTTTTCTATAACATTTCAATTTGGATATTATCAGGCAATGGGTCATACCACTCTGTGGACCAATTAGGAGTGCATTACAAGCAAAAATGATGATATTTGTTTCTAACTAGATAGGGTCAGGGCAGCTAGAAATTAAAAAGTTTGATCTTCACTTTTATTTTCATGTCTATGATCCTCTACCAGTCAAAATCAAGCTACCCAATGCATATATATTGTCTTTTTTATTATTTAATTTAATTTTTTTAAACTTTATGACTCTCTTTACCAATGAAAAGTTTGTGGTTGTAAATGTGCATGCATATAATTGTTATTTTACATGGTTACAAATATGAAATCTAGTAATTATAAAATACAAATTGTATTTTATTGACAAAATTCATGGATATGTCTCGGTAAGTGAGCAGTTATTCGAGTGTAATAGGATTGTGAGTCTCATTTTATCCCGGTTTCAATAAGTTATGTGTCTGATTATCTTGATTATGTTTTTCTTCTCTCGTATTATATATACATAAAAATTCATTAATGTTCATTGATTTATAGAGTCAATAATATGAAAATTGAGCATGCCTTAAATTGAAAGAGCTTAGATTTTAATTAAATGCATGACATCTTTTGTTTTTCATTTTAAGTTTTTGGTGTAGAAAAACAGATGTAATTGCCTTGGATTTTCATTCCATACCTCCATCTATAAATTGAAAAAATGAAAAAAAAACTCAAACTTGAAATTTGTGAGAACAAATGATTTAGAATGTGAAATAAACCCTTATGAATGAATAACTCTTTTTACTTGTATGACTTGAACGTCTCATATTTCTCGAAAAAGTGATCAGATCGATGGAGTTTGATATGATCCTTACTCTTAAGTACAATTCAAATGGAAACAATTTGCTCGCCTATCCTAATGGAGGAGGACAAGCCTCTAAAATTTCAGAATCTTATCCACATCTCTATAAAGAAGTTATCAATTGTGACAATTATAATCCGGTACATATAGAGCATACACTGCTCAAGTCAATTAGGTTTTTTTTACAAAGTGGTCCAATATATATAAAAACAATACAAATTATTAAAAAATTAAATAAACAAATCCCCCCAAAAAAATCAATAGATCATAGGAAAAGAGCAAGTAAACATGATGCAAAGAACATGCTCAAGCTACCTTTTTTTTTTTTTTAATGAAGTGGTCCAAGAATTAAAAAATATAATAAATAAATTTCCAGAAATAGAATGGATGGTTACAGAAGATGCAACATAGGAAAGGGTCATTATCTAAACCCATTAGGGCCATGTGCCCTATTGTAAAAAGCCTCTTTCACAGTCACCTTGCTGCACCTAAACAATTTGTGGTCCATTTTTTTAGAAGAGCTCAAGTACTGTGGTCCCTTTGTCCTTTGCAGAATTAACCCAACACCTACCAGCTTTTTAAGCTCTGTTCTAAACAATAAAATGCTTCATTTCTAATTTTTCCTAACCTTGTTTTGTGACACTTGTCACTTTGTAGCTGCATATTTCTGGGTGCTTAGGTCATTTTTCTATGTATAGTTCTTTCTCTGTGTTTTTTCATGCAGTTGGAGTTACTATATTTATATATACGCTTATACCTATTTCTTCAACATAACCAAATTCTCTGCTATTGGCTTTTTATTTTTAATTATTTCTTTCTTTTGGGAGTGTAAAGGCTTTGAGAGGGAAAGCCTTTGCCTTATTAGTTTTACTGCCACTGGATTTTAGTTTACTACCTATGGTAAGATGACACTTTCACTCTCTGTTATTTAGTATTTACCATTATTGTCAAATATATTATTAGTTTGTTATATATACATTAATATTTTAATTAATGCACTTTACACAATTACTTAGAAAAAAGATTTTCTATTAAAAATTTTGAACATCTTTGAAAATTAATTTTGTGTATATTTTCCTTTTTGGATATTGGAATATTGACTCCCATTGGAGATCTTTTATTAGATATATTAAATATGCGAAAAAAAATTACAAAAATGTGTATAATGTTGGTATTTGTCACTTACACCCAGTTTTTATTATTACTATTACTGATAAAATAATAAAATACGAGGCCAAGCATCCAAAAAAATAGGTGGCAAAGAACCAGAATTACATGTATAAGCATTTAATCTACTGACCATTTATTTACTGTATCTGTCTACCTTACCCGTTTAAGGTCACAGATAATAAAATTGCCAAGCAAAGAATAATTTTTGGCACGTAGTTTTTCAAATTAATAATGCAATTAAGTGGTATTTTATATCAGAATACGTCAAATAAACAATTTTTAAATGGAAATTAATTTCCAAAATTTACAGTTGAACTATTCCTGAATAGACATTCGAGCGAAAAATGATTATGGTAGTTAATATTAACTGCAGATTCCATTTGTTGGGGAAGGAGGGGATCAGTTCACCAGAACTGACTACCTAGCTAATTAGTAGTTGGGTTGGGACTTTGAGACAGATGGTGGAGCAGAGGCAGTACATATTTTTCTTCAGTAGTTGTTCGATCCCATTACTCGATGGGTGGTTGGCTTGCTGTACATTTTTTGAACAATCATTCACCGATTCGCCATTGTTAGTGCTCTAGTAATTTTTTACACTGTTTTTCTCCGGTAGAATCAGGAAGTATAATCTATTTTCAATCATAAAGTGTAAAAATTTTTATTCCTTGCAGTAAGTGTGCTCTCATCGTTACGGAAATTTATGTCATTTATTCATAGTTTATACGGTTACTAAAAAAGATGACCATAACAATAACAAGTATTAAAGTTTATCGGTAAAAAATAATAAAATCTTTACACTTAATTCTGTTTTCTTTTGTTGTTGTTTGGCCTAAAATAATATTATTAGAAAAATCATTAATTACTTGCTTATGTTGGTAGCTAACTCCTGTTGCTTTCATAAATACAGATGCTGCTACTAATTAATTACTCGCTCTTTGAGGATATCATGCAAATATCAATGTCACTGATCATCTGCACTGAACAATTCCCTGAAGACTGAAATTCTTGAAGTTATAATTTGTACTTTTCATTTGTTTCTATTATATAAAATATAGAATGGGATCAAAAAATTTTTTCTTTCACAAAAAGATATGTTCACATCATGTATATTTCTATAGAATCAAGTAATAGTTTATTTGTGTGAGATATATATTAGTACAATATATTATATTCCTTTACAGCTCATCAAATCGAAATTAATTCTCGTTGTTAATAATTTAAAAATAACTTCACTTTCTTCTCTTTCTACTTAAATATTGAGCAAGTTATGCAAACATATGTATATAAAAATATATATACGAGAAACAAAAAAATTGGTTTCTGTCTTCCTTCTATTCTAAGGGATCAAAATGAAAAGATTCATCGCATGCGAAATCAAAGACATCTTACATGCCATGTTATGGTCAATCGTTGTCATGTAGAAGCAATTGTCGTGGGGTATACATGTATTGCTAATAGTAATATTAGAGGAAGTTCAACAATTCAAGCAGTGAAAGATTGTGAATAATACATAATTAACTCGGTTTGTAATAAAGATTACTTATTTAACTCACTTTAATCTAAAGCAACTAACTACACTTGATTTTTTTTTTTTTTTTTTTTTTTTTTTTTTAACCTCTATTTAAACCTACATTCACCTCATTTAATTTCTTTTCTACTCTAACAATACTTGACGACCCGTTAATGCCACAACATTAATGCTATACTACAAAAATATATAATACGAGAAACACAACAACACCTTCTCGCGCTTTCTGTTCCTCCTTCCTTTTAACGAGGCCTCAATGCACCACAAAGACTCTTCCATACGCATTGCGATCAACCAGACACCTACTTACTTGCAATCCGATTATCCGGTCAAATCGTATGTCATTAGAAAGCACCTTGCATCGATGGCACGGCTACTACATCCGTATTGCTACATCCTCGAAATTAGAGCGAATTTTCAACACTTCCACAGCAGCTGCAAGATTGTCGTAATAAATAATTAACTCGGATTTGTCACTAACAGCAATCTCATTAATATAATAACTCACTTTACTCTAAAGCACCCAACTCACTAAACTTTCGATTTTTTATTTTCTTTATTTTTATCTTTCTTATCTTCTCTTTTGTGCGAGCACCAAATCTCATCTAAACTAACCAAGTTTTCTACGCCACAATAACTCCTGTGGCATTTCATGATACCGGCTTCCACGTATGCACGTTTTTTTTTTTTTTTTTTTTTTTTTTTTTGTGGACAACAAAATCTATCTAACTAACAGTTTTTGAGCCAACTAACTCTGTGGCATTTTGCATAGGTTAGTTGAAGGTTACAAAATTTCGGATGAGAAAGTGTTGAATTCTCTCATCTAAGCTTTTTCTATGATCCAGCAGATTATAAGCAAAAAATGCAGAGACATCATCTAAAAAGAGACTTGAGGTAAAAAGAAAAGAAGTGGGCCCCACGATATGGGTCAGGCCCGCTGTCTAAAGGGCTGACCCAAAAGTATCGCCCTAGCATATGCATAGGATTCCAAAATTTGTCCTCTTATGGTGGGTCAGAAAACGACGTCGCTGCGGCATGGACACATCACATGAACCCATTTTTTGCGGAACGGTACGGGTGTCTCATCTCTCAATGCCTTATTTATTAATAAATAATGTAAAAACCAAAAGAAAAAGCACTTATTAGCAATTCAAATCTCAAAAATGTTTTTATTTTTTCTATTTAATTATTATTATAAATTGGTCTTCGTGAATTGCACAACATTCAAGTTAACATTGAACTAAAGTCCAATGACAAAAGAAACATCTAATTTTTACACTTTTCATAAGTTTAATCAATTATTTTGATTTTATCAATTAATATGTACTAAAAATAATAATTAATATCACCAACTAAATTTATCACTAGTTTTTAATTTCGTACTTCGCTGATGAGAATTCTTTTGTTGTCTAAATAATTATTTATTACTAAACTATCTTATTTTTTTGAAAAGTTTTTCGATTTATATTATCACACCGCTAAATTACTTTTAATTTTTTATTTATTTGTAATATTTTAAACATTTATAATAAATAAATACAAATCAATATATTTACAATTTTTCTTATAAAATATGCTTTACTTTAGTTTGTCTAATCTTGAAAAATAGTTATTTTTATAATTGGATATTAATAATTTACATAATTAATAAAATAATAGACACAGTTAGAGGTTGATTATCCATAATTATGGGTAGTAATTTATTATTTTTATAAGTATAATTCTAAAATGAAAATAGTAAAGCTTAATCTATTACTTACATTCCCCTACTCTTGTAAGAGATTAAATTAAAAAAAAAAAAAAAAAAAAAAAAAAAAAAAAAAAAAAAAAAAAAAAGAGCTGCACGAAGAGGAAAATAGAAAAGATCTTCTCTTTGTTCCTCTCTTAAATTCTTCACCAAATACTGAATATTTCTTTTTAGAATTTTAAACCAGCATGGCAATTTATTTCAGGTAGAAGAAGCTTTGAGATTTGGAATTATTGGCACCTTTCATTTCTACGACTTTTGCTAAAAAAAAAAAAAAAAAAAAAAAAGAGCTGCACGAAGAGGAAAATAGAAAAGATCTTCTCTTTGTCCTCTCTTAAATTCTTCACCAAATACTGAATATTTCTTTTTAGAATTTAACCAGATGGCAATTTATTTCAGGTAGAAGAAGCTTTGAGATTGGAATTATGCACCTTTCATTTTCTACGACTTTTGCTTGTCTTGTGCATGCCATATCGGGCTATGATTTTTTTCCATTGGTAATGAGTTTAGGGACAAAAATATGCGAACAGAATTTTTCTTTTTCTTAAAAAAAAAAAAGAGTTTTTCCCTTGGCATGAGATATAATATCCAGCCATCCATGCATGAGTGCCAAAACAAAGTCTTCTTTGGTCCACATTATCCCAAATAAAAATAAAAATAAATAAATAGCATATGGGTCAAAAGTGTAATGATGTTTTCATCTAAAAAAATTAAAAACAAGTGTTATCATGTTTCTGTGGGTCAACTGAAATTATCAATCAATAATGTTGATAAAAGAAAAAAAAAAAGCTGAGCTAGAGGAATTTTTCTTGCTTGAAAATTCCGAATGGAAATTAATAAATTTAGAATTTTAAACTCATAATTTATATTCTCTATATAGACTTCTGTGCAGCTAACTTATATTATATAATACGGACGGTTGGAATGTTAGATGTGTTTGAACTACCTTGAAATTTTACTTGGAAAGCTGATTGATTTTCCCTTTCATTAGGTAAAAGTAAAAGTAAAAAGTATATTACTTTTTACGGGAACAATAGTAATGAACTCGAGGTAAAAATAAAAGTTGATTATGATATATAATAATCTATATGTTTTGGGAAAAAAATAAAAAAGTTGGATGCATTTAAATTATCTCACATACACAATTAGAATGTTCCACTACTTACATTTTTTCTCAAAGGGTCGAACTGACGGAAATTATATGATACATTAGATAACAAAGATATCTCTTTTTTTAACTTATTAAATTGGTGAAAACTGTTATAATTAAAAAGAGTTAAACTTGAAAACTTTCAATTCTTATATTAGTGAAAATACTAAACTCACCACGCTAAGTTGACATTCAACCAATTACATTGCTGCATCGTTTATTTATTTAGAGGATGGAGATGTAAATAAAAGAGGGTAACCAAAAAAAAAAGACATTCTAAGTCATTTTGGTGTTTAGGCCCAACAAGAAAAAATGACCGAAAAAGGCCAAAAGGCCATTTTTGTATAAAATTTTAAAAGACTGTCTTGGGTTCAAGACCAAGTGTAATATCAGAACTAAAATGACACGAGATGAAATTAAATTGGAGGCATTATCTTCGAGGCAATGTTTGGATTAATGTTTTCGAAATTCATTTTCCAAATCTATTGATTTGAAAAATAGTTTTGAAAACTCTCATTTAAAATCTCTCTCGTTAAACACAATCCATATTCATTTTTATTATAAATTTACATCAAAATATATTTGATTACATTTAAATTATATTTCATTACATAGCTCGTTAAACATATAAATTGATTTCATTTAATAACAAATGTTAAAGAACTTGTATAATGATGAGATCACACTATTAAATTAAACTAATAGTATAAGAGATAAAACTAATGTTTTTTGGTTTTTGCAAAATAGAGTTCACTTGCAAATTTTAAATAAATTTCAATTATTTTGATTTGGATTTCGTAAAAAAATAATTTTTTTTTGAAAATGAAAATAAATAAATAAAAACTTAATCAAATTGAATAATATTTATAAAATTTTTATGTATATGTACATGTGTGTAATCATGTATTATTTAAGATTTTGATTGATTTTAACTATTTTGCTTCAATTTTTAATATATTTTTTAATATTATTTTGGTTGATTTAGTTTTAACAATATTTTCTTTAAATTTTTTTGATTATTATAGTTTTGTTTTAAAATCTAATTATAATCCATATATATTTTACTTTCATTTTCTTTCCCACAAAACTTAACAATTTTAGACAAAGCAAAATTGGTTGGGCTTGAATTAGGCCCAAAATACCTGTCGAAAGAAAAGTGGGTTGGGCTGAAAATAGGCCGACCTTCATTAAGCAAAGCGGCGAAATAACAGATAACGATTAACGAGGGAAGAAGGGAAAAGAGAAAAGTTTGAAGATAAACAGAGAAAGAATGGTGGGAGCCTCCTCTCTGCAACCTAGACTTCTCTCTTCTTTACTGGGAGATTGCCTTGTTCAATCGAAACAGCCTCTCTCTAAGCTCTTTCACTACAATCCAGGTCTCTTCATTTACTTCTTTGTGATCATATCAGATTTTGAGCTGTTCTCCTTGTTTTTATGTAAATCTCTGCTTGTTTGCTTTTTAATTGCGTGAAATGGTTATTCAACTACTTGAAAAGAATTAAGGTACTGGATTGATTGAAGAGCCTTTATTGACTTCGCAAGGGTTAATACATGTCTTTTGGGGCTAAATCTGTTGCAGAAATTAAATAATAGTTTGGCTTCAGTCCAGTCTTTCATTTCGGCTTGTTTATACAAGTGTTTGGTACAGTGAACTAGGCTTTTCAGTGAGATCCTTGGATGTTTCAACTTCTGTTATAGGATGTTTGACATATTCCGGTTTGCCTAAAGTTAAGCAAAAAGCTATATTAGCTGATAGAATGTGTTCAATTCTGCTTTGTTAGCTATTGGTGGAGCAAAATCATTGTTAGGGATTGTGACAGAATTTCCTGTTCAATTGGAGTAATGTAGACTTTTGCACTTGTTAGTTGCAATAGAATGCCGCTTTAGCATGATAATAAATGCATATAAGGCCGTTGTTTGAGGTGGAAATGGTTCGCGCTTAATATAGTTCTTTAGGAGGTGAAACAAAAAGGAAAAGTGGAATTCTCAATTCATTTTATCTTAGACTGGGGATTTAATCTCTAACTTCTGATACTGTTGTTGGTGAAGTTCTTTTTTAGGATACAGTAAACCAATACTACCTATATCTTTATTAAACCTACTACAAATTTGGTAACAGCATTTGTTCTTTGTGGCTTTTGGCTATTTGTTCTGTCATATAACAATGACAATTTCTTTATTGGGCTCTTTTAATTCCATATACAGGAAGCAAAAATGTGTCAATGCAATTAACCAGAGGACTTTCTGGCTTAACTGATTTTCTGTTTAATAGAAGGTATGAATGTAACATTATAACTGCACTCACATGCTGTTTCATAAACAAAATCACCATGACTATATTATCCCTGCTTCTCATTTCTAGATTTTTTTCAAAGGTGTGGCAGCTTTTGCTGACACGTCTACCCAACTGCAGGGTTTCAATATTTAAATGCTTTTTTTATTTTCTTTGCTGTGAATTAGTCTCAGGATTTCTTCTAAGGGTTTGTTTCAATATTTATTTGACATAACAAACACACAGATTAAGGTGTATGTATGTAGGATCAAATGAGTTTGCAAGGGAATTCACAATGTTTTAGGTTAAGTGATAAAGCAAAAAGGATTATATAAACAAACCTTTGATGGAATCTATTTTATGTTGTGTTTAGGAATGTCACAAGATAAAAAGGATGTATCCAAATAAACATGCGTGCATGTGCTTGTGCACACACATGTCACTGGCCTTACAGATTGAATGGCTTTCATAACCCCCTGCATAAATAATAATGTTGGACAGTTTTGCTTGAATTCTTGATATATTTTGCATGTATTTGTGGTGTTTACTGGACTTGATGGTTGATGGAAGGAAACAATGTGCATGTCCATTACTTTTGTGATATGCACAGTTAAAAGACATACAAGCACAGAGGCGTGCACAGACACAGACATGTCAATAGATTTTACAAATTCGCTATTGAAATGAACAGAAATCTAGATGAAGTGCCAAATAGCACACGCAAACGTCTAAGGCCTGGAAAAATTTCTCCTCGTCGACTTGTCCCAGATCATATACCAAAGCCCCCCTATGTTAAATCTCGGAAACCACCTGGAATTGCAAGTGGACCTGAAGTGCATGATGAGAAGGGGATAGAATGCATGAGAGCTTCAGGAAGGCTTGCAGCACAGGTGCTTGAGTATGCTGCGACTCTAGTCAAGGTAGTGTGGTGATTCTCTTGCAAACCCTCTCGTCATATATATGTGCATGTGCACGTGTGTCTGCACTTTTAATTAAAATAGGTTCTCTCTTTATGATTGCAGTATGTTTTTATAATTGTTGGGTACATTTAATATAGTAATAGAGCGTTACAAGTAGTTAATATTCTTTTAGATAACACCAGGTAGTAAGAAAGAAAATATAGATTTTGCGTCAAGCTAAATAGAAGATGTCAGTTTATTCAATCTCCTTATTGTCATTTGGCAGCCAGGCATTAAGACAGATGAAATTGATGAAGCAGTTCACCAGTTCATAATTGATAATGGAGCATATCCCTCCCCTCTTGGCTATGGTGGGTTTCCTAAGAGTGTTTGCACATCAGTGAATGAGTGCATTTGCCATGGAATTCCAGATTCCCGTGCTCTTGAGGTCCCTTCTATTCAAATTCTTAATTTTTTCTTCATCCTTCGTAGCTAAGATTTCCTCTAATGTATAAACATTAATTGCATTCATTTACAGGATGGTGATATTATCAATATTGATGTTACAGTTTATCTAAATGTAAGCATCTTCCCGTTTTCATTATGCTAATATGTTTGTGTAGTAGTGCAACGGAAGAATGTTTATCTCTTTGTATAATTTTACTAGTTTTCATTTTGCACTTGTGGCCTTACTAAATATATACATTGGGTGTATTGAGTTAACTGACCTTGATATCAGGGTTATCATGGTGATACATCAGCAACTTTCTTTTGTGGAGAGGTTGATGATGAAGCTAGAAAACTGGTTGAGGTAACTATATGGAACAGTAAAATTTGTGGATTCCCATGAATTCTCTTCTTATTTGCAAGTGATAAGTAACAAGTGCCAACTTAATCACTAGTTAAGTTGATTAATTTGATATTCATAAAATTGGCTGTGGTGGGTTAGATGCCCACGAAAACCTACCAAGTTTCGCTAGAATTATATCCTCGTTTACTCCTAAATTTAGGTAAAACCAAAATAAAGAAGACAAAAGTAGTAGTTGTGGGGACAGGTATAAGTAAATGCATGATCTACATGGTTGGCATAAAATTTTTCCAGATTGATTGGCATAATTATTTAACAGGTGTAGATGAGTTTATCCTGATAAGCCAGGTGACTACAATCTAAATGTTCAAGTTCACCTAAAGCATGTGACAAGCTTTAGTTACCTACTTGGGACATACAAATGACCTACATAATATCAGTGTGAGTTCCATGGCTAGGAAATAAGTTATGAGTGAAATAATTAATAAGAATAACCTACTTTACCATCTTAGTATATTTTGACTTGAGATTCATGTACCCCGCAATTGTCACTTAACTTACTGTCTCACAGGCACAGTTTCTGAGTTAACATTTCTTATTCCTTGTTCCAATTTGGTGCTACGTAGCAGAACCTTAATTAATTCAATTTGTAAATCTAGTTTTTGATAATGAACAATGTTTATTTATTTTTGTAGGTAACTAAAGAATGCCTTGATAAAGCAATTTCAATTTGTGCACCAGGAATGGAGTTGAAGAAAATTGGCCAAACAATACAGTATGGCGTCTTCTTTGGTCATCCTTTTCTTTTGACATTTTATTCGTTTTCTAACACATGCTTTAAAATTTTTGATTTTATACTCATTCATAATCATAATTGATGTTTTTCTTTCCAAGTGACCATGCAGATAAATTTCGTTATGGTGTTGTCGAACAGTTTGTTGGCCATGGTATCGGACGTGTTTTCCATGCTGATCCAGTTATTCTACACTATAGTAATTACTTGAGCTCTGTACTTTGTTGTCTATGTTTGCTTTTGTTCCACGGTATTTAGTTTATATTTTTTTTGCATAAAAGTGCAACATGTCAAGAATCTATTTGCTCAACCATCCATTACACTAAGTACAGAATTTTGAGGGTTTCGAATATTTTTATATCTTAACATATTTGTGAAAATTACAACAGCATGTGTTATGAGACCCAGTCAGAGTAAGTACATTGTGGAAATAGGAATAATTTTCTTCACAAGATGGCTCAGTAGTTTTCTTCTTCATTGGATGCTCTCTTTTTCTACTGGAGGCATGAATTGAGGCTTCTTGCTCCTTTATAAAAGTAAAACACTGATAATGATATGTTCTTTCAGGAAACAATTATGATGGACGTATGATGTTGAATCAAACCTTCACTATTGGTATGTATTCATAAAATTCTCCTCATGATCTTCAGAATTATCTTGCCTCTGATATTCAATGAACTGTTGACAATAACAATTTTGGTCAAAGCGGCCTTGCAGTCTTGAATCTCAACAGTAAAGAGCTGATTGTTAATTATTTGATAAAGTTTAGAGGTTGAGATCAGATGTTAAAATATCTACTGATAATTTTTTCTTTGGCCGATTATTGATAAAGCTTAGAGGTTGTGCTCTCTTTTTGCACATATTTTCAGTTTTATCTCATCCTTTTATTTGTCTAATCATAAATCAATTTAAAAATAAAACTTGTTTAACCAGTATTTTTTTTTTTGGTCAAATTGAGTGGGATGCTTAAAATTTTTATAAATGTGAAAGGTTGTAGATGAAATTGATAAGAGTAGAAGGATTGGCTAAAATTGAAAATTCAAGGTATTTTTATTTTTATTTTTTTTTGTCAATGGGCCCCTTTCTGTTCTTTTTGGAATATATTCTCTTCAGAATTTCCAGAATTCCAGTCAATATGTTCATGGCATTAAAAACTTTTCCACCCATAAAGCACTTGAATCTTAAAAGTCATTCCCGAAAGCTGCAGGTACAGCAAACTTTGCAGGAGAAATCGAACCTTGAAAAGATACTTTTGAGATACTTTTTTATTTTTCATTCTTTAAGGGGTCTGGATAGTTTATGTTACCACGTCCATATCTTCTTCAGAAAAAAAAAAAAAAAAAAAAAAAAAATGTTCATTGGCATTAAAAAACTTTTCCACCCATAAAGCACTTGAAATCTTAAAAAGTTCATTCCGAAAGCTGCCAGGTACAGCAAACTTGCAGGAGAAATCGAACCTTGAAAAAGATACTTTATGAGATACTTTTTTTATTTTTCATTCTTTAAGGGGTTACTGGATAAGTTTATGTTTTACCACGTTTCCATATCTTTCTTCAGAAAAAAAAAAAAAAAAAAAAAAAAAAAAAAGAAAAAAAAAAAATTGAGAGATAGTGGGAGCGAAAAAGGGGGCATTGTGTTGGATTTGGGTCCCTTCCTATGTGGTAAAAGCCCCATATTTTGCTTAGTCCATTAAACTAATTATTGCCATTAAACTAATTATTGTTTTACAATTTTGCCCCTCAACTAACTGTCATTCTTTATGATATTTTTGGCTGCTATTTGATTGATTCACACATCCAAAAACTGTGTGAGAAAAACAGAAAAGAAGAGGAGAGAGGGATTTTTTCTGCACAGCCCCATCCAGCACCAACCATCGTGTTCTGGAGATTCCCGGAGTTCTAACCGTTGGATCTTTGTGATATTTGGGTATGTTGTTCTTCACTCTCTGTTCTTGATTCTCACCGAAGGGATTTTGATTTGGAGGTTCAGAGATTGAGTTATGGCTCTGAATCCGAAGCTGTCCTGTTCAGCTTCCAGCTCTGCATAGCTTCATCTTCTTCGGCGTTTCGGCAGTCACCCTTTGTCGGATTGAGTTGATTTTTGGTGAGCATGTTCCTTACATCCAATTCTTGATTCTGGCCGATCAGTTTAATTTTTGGATGAGTAGAACATTTTTAAATGTATTTAGAACAGTAGCTGTGTTTTATGATCACTCCATTGTGTTGCTACACATTTGGTTGCTACACATTTGTTTGTGGTTATAGCTATATTTTTTGTGGTTGTGTGGTTGTAGCTTGCTGTAATTTGTAAGACAATATTTGTGATAGTGAACTTTATTTCCTTGGACCGGAGGAGAGGTCCCGTGGTTTTTATCCTTCACACGGAGGAGTTTTCCGAGGAGTTTTCCACGTAAAAAGATTTGTGTTCGTGTGGTGAATGTTATTTTTGATTGTGCATGATTTGGTGCAGTTTGTGTTACTTGAATTTGTTACTCCTAATAGATTCATTTAAGTGGGGAAGTTATTTTTGTTGTGAAGTTATTTTGTTATTTCCCATCACAGTCCAAACTTCCCCACTTGAATTAATCTATTAGGAATCTATTAGGAGTAACAAATTCAAGTAACACAAGCTGCCCTAAATCATGCACAATCAAAAATAGCATTCACCACACGAACACAAATCTTTTTACGTGGAAAACTCCTCCGGTGTGAAGGATAAAAATCACGGGACCTCTCCTCCGGTCCAAGGAAATCCAAAGGAAAATAAAGTTCACTATACCAAATATTGCTCTTTACAAATTACAGACAAGTCTTACAAATTACAGCAAGCTACAACCACAGAAAATGTATCTATACCACAAACAAACAAATGTGTAGCAACACAATGGAGTGATCACAAAACACAGCTACTCTTCTAAATACATTTAAAAATGTTCTATTCATCCAAAAATTAAATTGATCGTCCAGAATCAAGAATTGGATGTTAGGAACATGCTCACCAAAAATCAGCTCAATCCGACAACGGGTGACTGCCGAAACACTGAAGAAGATGAAGCTACGCAAAGCTGGAAGCTGAACAGGACAGCTTCGGATTCAGAGCCATAACTCAATCTCTGAACCTCCAAATCAAAATCCCTTCGGTGAGAATCAAGAACAGAGAGTAAAGAACAACATACTCAAATATCACAAAGATCCAACGGTTGGAACTCCGGGAATCTCCAGAACACGATGGCTGGTGCTGGATGGGGCTGTGCAGAAAAAATCCCTCTCCTCTGGAAAAAATCCCTCTTCCTCTTCTTTTCTGTTTTTTTCTCACACGGTTTTTTGGACGTGTGTATCAATCAAATAGCAGCCAAAATTATCCATAAATATGGCCTGTTAGTTGAGGGGGCAAAATTTGCTTAAACAATAATTAGTTTAATGGACTTTCAAAATATGGGCTTTTACCACATAGGAACGGGGAACCCAAACCCAACAATGTCTTTTTTTTTTTTTTTTTTTAATATTCCTCTGTTAGTTGAGGGGCAAAATTGTAAAACAATAATTAGTTTAATGGACTTCAAAATATGGGCTTTTACCACATAGGAAGGGAACCCAAACCCAACAATTGTCTTTTTTTTTTTTTTTTTTTAATATTCCTTTTGCTGAGATTAATTTGGCTGGCCGGAATATCCTTCTTAGATCTCTCATGACAACAGTATGTGAAAGCTTTTTGATTATGTTGGATTATCCAGCAAAGCTAGCCTCTAATATAAATAATTGGAAATGCGATTTGCCTTTGATTTTGAATAATGTGTTACTAATTCTCACTCATAAAGTTAGACACAGAGATGATAGATCCATTTTGCAAATCAATTTTGCATTATTTGCATTTATAACTTTAGTTGTGGATGCTCATGTTTAAATAAATACTTCCTCTCAATGGGCTTTGATGAGTAAAGCATCTTGTATTGCTTATGGATTTATTTCAATGTATATCATGGTATATTTGTACAGAGCCAATGCTGACAATCGGCAGCATTAATCCGGTAATGTGGAACGATAACTGGACAGTCGTTACCGAAGATGGAAGCCTATCAGCTCAGTTTGAGCACACCATTCTAATAACTGAAGATGGAGCAGAGATACTGACCCAGTGTTGAGAAGTGTATTTACAGAGTAAAGTTGGTAGCTCCATATCTATTCATATTGCTCATTTTTATTTTTACATCAAATAAATGTGATTGAATTTGCCTATTTCGAATTAAAATTTTGCAGCCAATGAGGCAATCTATATTCATATTGTTTCTGGGATGCCAATATTAATCATTGAAGAGGCCTCCTGCAAAAAATAGATGAATTTATGTACCGTTAACTGTAAGAACGCTAAATGCACCTTACCCTTGCTTTTTTGGTTATTAAAATTAGATTATTAGAGAATAATGTTTTCTGGTAAATGAATATAGAATTATCAGACTGATTCTGCTGAAAGATAATTCTTCTTGTTGCAACTGTTTTGTCCAGTTGTCAAGTAAAGCGATACTATGGTCTACGGTCATGTCTGTTTTCTTTTAGATTTGATATTAATTTGTTATAAATTCAAATTATCATGTTTAGTATAAATGAAAATTAATTCGAAATTTCACATTTTTAATTCTGTGGAATTGGTTTTATTCGGATAAAATTCCATTAATTATTAAATTTTAAATTAATAAATTTACATATTTGGAATGAATTTAATGATTTATACAAAAATATGAAAATTCTTTGAGAAACGTGCTTTCTTTATGAAATAAATATAACGTAAATTTTATTTTAAGTACCAATGTAATTTCAGCTCTCATTTTGTTTCTATGATGAATCAAACTTGTCCTATATCTTATAGACTTGAGCAGAGCTAAATGGCCAAAATGTATGAAACGACTTGCTGTTGAGGAGGATATTTATTTATCCTCCATCTCCTTGGCTAAAGGCTGGAAAATGTTCATGAACTAGCTTGACATTTTTTTTTCTTCAAAATTATAATTTCAGTTCTATGCTTACACGTGGAAAGCCTGATGAGGGGTCCCATAGATAATGTGCGTACGTGTTTTTATATTTTGGCCTCAAACCAGTCAAACGGCAGTGTTTAATGCATTTTAGTTTGCACTCCCAAGTGAACTAATGTTTTGTCGTTTGACAACCGCGAGAAAAAAATTAAACAATCACAAGCAGAAAGCATGGGCCATGAAACCGTGGTTTAATTGCAACATAGAAAGGCTAAACGCAAAATAACAGCGGACAGATGGTTGAATGAATGGAAGTGAATTGCTAAAATGTAACGATTAAAAATCTGAAGTCATTATTATTGTGAGAGATTTACTTGAATACTGCATCTATACGAATAATAAAAATTCCCCTTATTGTATGTTCAAATAACAACTAATATTATAATTAAAGATGAATTAGGGGTGTGAAACTCATTTAGAAAAAAACTAGAAATTAAAAAATGATTCCTATATTTGAAATAATATAACTTAAAACGTAAAATTGAATTAAATTCCATAAAATTCATGCTTGAGATAATTCTATAATCAAAATTTATTTATCCTCGTTTTACAAAATAGCCTCAATAGTAAAACTAAATAACAGTAACTTCCTAAACTACCTATTCATTAGATTTAATTAAGATTCGAATTCACAGCCTTCTAACTCTAGAAAGAAACTTACCTCTAAATAAAACATTCTTCGTAATATTCCAAATGCTTAAATAAAATTAGAAAACGACTCTTTTTAAGTCCTATCTTAAAATGGACACCAAGATAATAAATAAATAAATAAATAAAAGCATGGATGAAATTTATAATGACTTACACGTCAGTGCTCTAATTCATTGAAAGAAAATTTAATATGGCTTTTGTACTCAGTTAGGCAAGTTCTCTATATTGGCATGATCAGAATGTTTTTCCAAACCAGTAAAAATTTTTCCTCAAAAATATTTTTTTTCTTAGTTGCGCGGATGAAAAGGATGATAGCAATCAGATGACAGGAAATTACAACAACATAAATTTCTTAATATGCTTTAGCTCTGTTTTCGCCCTTACAGAAATTAAAGCTCGTTTAGATGTTATTTGCTTTAAATTAAAGAAAAGAAAAAGGAAGAAAAGTAAAACTTTAGAAAAGAATTAAGGATTAAGAATTAAAAAAAAAATTAATTAGGGAATCAGTTCTTCAGTCTTTTTCATTTTCTATTATTGGGAGGGAGTTGCAGAAATTGAAGTGGTTAGTCGTATTTCTCAAGAAATGCCTTTTTTTCAAATTATGGAAGCATTTAACTTGTTGCAATAGGATAAGAAATAGATGAAATTGCAGGTTAAAGGAGTCATAATAAAGATATAAAAATTTTTTCGCGCCAAGTTTTCTTCACCCTCTTCCTCTTTCCCTCTTTCAAGAGACTACGTTCCATTCTTAATGGCTGTCATTGCCAATAATTTCTTCATACTTCGATTCTCTCTTGTAAATCCTTCTCCTAAAAATTTTTTAGCTTTCTCTGACAACCAACTGAAGGAAGTGAGAATTGAAAACAAGTTATACTTTGGACAGTGATCCACATAGTTGGAAACCCACAAACCAAATATAAATTATGAACTGTTAAAAGTCTATTGGAGCATTTCTGGATTTTTTTTTTTTTTTTTTAACCAAAATATAAATTATGAACTTTGTTAAAAGTCTATTTGGGAGCATTTTCTGGATTTTTTTTTTTTTTTTTTTCTGACAACCTATTAATTTCGTCTTTTTTTTTTTTTTTTTGACAACCTATAAATGAAGAAGGAGGAAGAGACATGCACATTTTCTGGATTTTATAATGATTTTTTTTGCCTGAGTTTTTTTTTATCTTTTTCCTAATCTGTCATTGCAATAAGAAATTCAAAACCAAACAAAGCTTACTCTTCGTTGATTGGTTATTTTGCTTTTATTTATAGGAAAGATCCAAAAGCCTGCCAACTTTATTAACAGTCACATTTGATTCCAATGGTATTACTTGCCATTAAAAGGATGATAATGAAGATGATAAGATTGGGTCTTTCTTTTCATTGTTTTTGACTGGGGTAGGTGGAACCAGGATCAATTTTACCTTGTCACGAAATACTTAACGTCTAAAATTTCAAATATTGAATGAAAGGGTAATCTAGCCTAACGAACTCAAAATATAAAGATAAAACAGTCTATTTTTAAAAATAATAAGGATAAAGCATTTTTTTATAAAATACAAGGTACGATTATAATTTTTTCTTAATAAAATTTAGATAATGTAATTAAACTATAATTCTTGTTTTATTTTTTCCTAAGGATATATTAGAATTCCATTAAAATTAATGATCTATGTTACATTGTTAGTGAAATTAGTCAAATTAAAATTATTTACCCAATAATCAAGGTAATTGACTAATATATAAATGAAGATTAAATGTTTAATTTTTTTTATGTCAAGGTTTAATTAATGGTAATGTAGTAGTTTGACTAATATTTTTATTGAGAAAGAAGCATATTAATTAAATTGATTCTGACATGTGGTTTGGGACTCCTTTACCCTTAACAAAAGTAGAAGTTTTTTAGAATTAGGTTTGGAAAAGTTATTTTTTAATTAAGCAGAAAGTCATCTCTCTCTCCCTCAAAATCTGCAAGTGGTACAAAAATATCCTATAAGTAGACTGCTGGGGCTACAGAAGGCCTATTTATAGCAAACTTGTTTTAGATAAAGATGATAAATTAAGTTGCTAAATAAGATAATACAAATTCCTAATTAGTAATTATGTTGATTGTCGAATAGGATTAAAGTATTCATCATATAACAAGATTTCTAGATGAGATCATTTTTTAAAAAAAAAAAATGGTAAATTGAAAATAATTGAACTAGTTATTTCAGTGTATTGTGACTATTAATATTTGCTAAATTAATAATCTATAAGCCTAGCTATAACTTTAGTAAAAATGACATATATAGACGTCTTGTTGACTGGGTTCTCAAGCCTCTATTCCAACTAACAAAGAAGATTTAATATTTGAGCTATACCGCTAATTGACATTACAAATTATTATTATTATTATTATTATTATTATTATTTTAGTATTGATGGATGCAGATTCAAATTTAGATGTATTATTTTGATGCTTTTTTAACTCTTTAGAATAGTGAAAATTTTTGTTTTCTCCGTTTTTATGACAGCGAACATTTAAATGCTCTGTTTGAAGGGATTCAATATCTAATGCTCGAACTCAATAACTTTAATTAAGGGGAAAAGATTCTTCCCGTGGGGTTAAATTGACTCTAATATAAATAAACAAATTAAGATTTTATATTATGAAGAGCCATCCGTAATATTCTTCCCACTAAGCTGACTTTGCTTACAAAGGGAGTGCTGGTTGATTCGGCTTGTCCATTTTGTGTAGAAGATGAAGACATCGTTCATAAGTTACAGCTACGAGGATTGTTACTTTTTCTCTTCATAGTTTTAACTCTTGGCGGATGCTCAAGGGGACTTGAACCATCATATCGTGACGGCGGAAGATTTGGCTGCTGCAGAATCGGGTGAGCCCTAACATATCTCTATCAGTTGGCAATTACCAGCAACTGGTAAGTAGAAAATCAATGTGGGATGCTGCTTGTGATCCATGGATGCATCGAATGAGATATGGTGATGGGTTAAGGGATGATGCAGGTCAGTTTCTTGCTGCGGTTTCTAGGTCTTTTGTTGGTTATGGCAGTCCTCTATTAGCTGAAGCTATAGAGGTTAAGGAGGCTCTTTCGTGGTTAAAGAATGAAGGTCTTCATAATGTTATTGTAGAGACAGATTCTAAACAAGTATGGACAAGTAATTTCTGCTCTGATTTGGTGAATTTGAATGAATATTAAAGCTTTATTATTACTAATACGGGCACATTTGTTTGGAGACAGGCTCCAACTTTTCTTGTTCTTGTTTTTTATTTTCTAATGTTATCCAACCAGGTTTTTTCACCTAGTATATACATATCTTAAGTTGGGTGTTTGGGATTGGCCTGTTGGCAAGCGTTAAAAGGTTTATATTATTAAGTTTTTCATAGTATTTTTTTTTAATAATAATTTCTATTTTCCAAAAAGATTATATATATATAAACACATGAATTTAGATAATAATGACCATTAATTAATCACGTGTCAAATATATAGTGGCTCATACCTAATTATATTGATGTCGATTACTTGAACTAGCAGGAAAGGAAGTTTCTCCATACCTTGGCCAGGAACTTATTTACCCTATTACCAGGTAATACACTGAACAAAGCGAGTTATTAGCTATATATCAATTTTAAAAAAGTGACTCATTTTAGACAGTTTCATTACGAAACTATCAACTGCATCCTCTCTATATATAGATCACAATATTGTATGGGCTTCCATGCATGTTTTATATATATATATATATTTTTTTTGGGCAGGTTGGTTTTGTTTTAGGTGTTGTATAGTATGCAACAAAGTTTTCTTTGGATCTGTTATTAGTATTAAGTAAGTTCTTAGCTTCTTGATTGATCTATTGGCTCAGGTCCTGTATTGGGTATTGTTAAGTTTTTTTCTGGCAATCTTATTTTTAGTTAGTTAATTTGTTGTTAATAAATATGAATACTCATACATTTAGTGATGAAATCAACCCATCAACCTATGGTGAAAGAATTACAGTTTTAAGCATTGATGGGGGTGGCATTAGAGGCATTATTCCTGGAGTTATCCTGAGTTTCCTGGAATCCAAACTACAGGTTTATATTATATTATGTTATATAGTACTCTTTCTATTCACATATATACAGACAAATGCTGATGCACATGCACAGGCATATTTTAGTATGTTGAGCACTTACTTATATTTGCATATATGTGAACATACGTGCAGGGTGCATTTTATGATGTGTATGCTTTTTTTTTTCCCCCCCTTTTGAGTCAGATGGAGTAGGAATTTAACATTATCTCAATGTGTGATTTTGTTGAGTGCAGGAACTGGATGGAGAACATGCAAGAATTGTAGATTACTTCGATGTGATTGCAGGAACTAGCACAGGAGGTCTAATAACCACCATGTTGACTGCTCCTGATGAAAATTCGCGTCCTCTCTATAAAGCCAAAGATATAGTTCCTTTCTATCTCAAGCATTGCCCTAAAATATTTCCTCAGTCTTGGTAATTAAATATGTAAACCATCATATGATTTCAATCTTAAAGTATTATCTATTCTAATTTCTATATTTTGTTTTAATTTTTGAAATAATTAGGGATTTGATTATGAAATTTAAAGCTTTAGTGGGTCCAAAGTATGATGGCAAATATCTACAAAAGATCATTCACAAGACTCTGGGAACTCGAAAACTGCATGAGACTTTAACTCGTGTTGTTATACCTGCATTTGACATTCAATTACTACAACCTGTTGTCTTTTCAACCTTTGAGGTAAAAATCTTATGTGATTTTTTTTTAAGAACTTTAATTAATTAATTAATTACAGGTTGTTTAATTAGATCTTGCTGAATTACTATTACAATTTGCATGATAATTGATATTTTATTTCTTGATTTTCAGGCAGAAATCGATGCTTCAAAAGATCCTTTACTCTCTGATATTTGTATCAGTACTTCCTCAGCTCCAACTTATTTTCCTGCTTATTTTTTTCAAATTAAAGATTCTGAAGGAAACAGTAGGGAACTCAACCTCATTGATGGAGGCATAACAGCAAATAACCCTGTAAGCTAGAGCTTTCTTTCTTCCCTTTTTTGTTTTTTGTGCTAATTTTTTTTTAAATAGCACATCACAGACTTAAGTAATTTTAGGTGGAAAAGTATCAGTTGTTTTGCATAAAGAATTATTTTATTAATAAAAATAAAATTGAGAAACTATTTAATTTGTTTTACAAAAAAAAAAAAAAATTAACGAATTTGCTAATTAAGCCAACCTCATAAATGAAATAGTAATTTACCATATATTCAGAAGTGAATATTTCTTATATTGATCAAAATTTTTCTTGTAAGATTTCTCAAGAAAAATCTGTAATACTGCTAGAAAGATTAGGTCCAAACCAATTATAATTAATAAAGAAAAGAAATAAATCCTTGTCATAATTCATATATTCTATATATGTATTGTTTTGAAAGGCATTGCTGGCTATGAAACCAACTGGAACTGTGTTCCCGGGCGATCCAGAGGCGTTGCCGGCACAAGCTCTAGAGTATGAGAAATATCTGGTGATTTCTCTAGGCACTGGAACTTCAAAAATGGAGAAAAAGTACAGTGCAAAAATGGCAAAAAACTGGGGAATTCTTAATTGGCTTTATAAAAAAAGGGATTCTCCATTAATTGACGTCTTCACTCATTCTATTAGTGACATGGTTGACCTTCACATGTCCTTAATTTTCAGATCCATCAAATGTGAGCATAATTACCTTCGAATCCAGGTAATTATTAATTAATTCAAATCTTAAAATTTTGTATTATCTTCATCTAAAAATAATATTTTTAATTGAATTTTTTTGAATTAGGATGACACATTAAGTGGGGATACATCTTCAACTGACAAAGCTACCAAACAGAATTTAAAGGAGCTTGTAAAGATTGGTGCAAGGATTTTGCAGAAACCTGTTTCTAGGGTTAACCTAGACAATGGCATTTTTGAACCAGTTGAAAATGGAGGCACTAATGAAGAAGCTCTCATTAGGTAATTTAATCTTTTGATCCTTTTTAAAATTTTTGGTCCCTTTTCTATAATTATATATACGCTCGGTCCAATAATAGAAATAATACAGGATTTGCAAATTCAACACATTATTATATATAGCTTATATATTTTATTTTTCCGTTTCAGATTTGCAAAATCACTATCAGAAGAGAGAAAACTCCGTAAGAGGAAATTTCAAAGAACCCATAAATAAAGTTTACGTATTATATGATAAAAAATAAAAAATTATTTATTTATTTAATAAAATTTCTCAAGATAACGACTCAACTAAAAGTCTTCCCTCTCTAAAAATAAAATAGAAGTCTTTCCAAAATAAGATTGTGTTTTATTTTCATTAGCTTTTGATTGTCTGTACCAAAATTTACAATATAGTTCTTCGTCACGGAATAAAAAGGCATGAAAAAGACTTCCATTTTGATGGAGTCAAAAAATGTACGATTACCCATTATCATATGTAATGTAATATTGACGTTGATTTACATTTTGTTGTATAGTCTACTTCTTTACTGTTGGACAACTAGTTTATTATAGAACGTTGTCTCTATTTAATTGGTATTTTTTCTAGATTTAATATATTCTTAATTATTTAATTATATTAAATTTCGTTATAATTTATCAAACATTGTCTAGCACAATTATAGTATAGCCTAATGTATTATTAATTGGAGTGATTTAACATTATAAGAATTTGGGCTTGAAATTGGAAAGGAAAATAATAATAATTATAATAATAATAATTATTATTATTATTAAAATATAATGGAAATGCACTTCTAAATATGTAATTAATACACCAACGTTAATTGTGATGAAGTAGTTACAAAAAAAAAAACACATAATTAATACAACCTTCTCCCATATTCTCTAGAAAAGAAAAGTACTAATACATGTTAGGATACTTGAATTAGGTTAAAAGTTTAATTTTTATCACCAGAGCAAATATTTACAGGAAGTATTTTACTTTTTAATGGATCAAACAACACAAGCAAAATTTTCAATACCGAAAAATAAATTTAAATGAACAAATTGGTGTATAAGGTAGTAAATTTAAACAAATTGGTATTTAATTAACTGAAAAATTTATCAAAACTATCGCAAACAAGTATGTTAATTCATATATCTCATATCCATGCACATTTCACGCACGATTTGTAATCTCGAAGGACCAGTCTCCAAATGCATCACAGCACTAGAAAAATAGCACACACGCATTAAAATTTTAATTTATAAAATTACAAAAAAAATTTGAATCGTAAAATTTTCATATTTTAAAAATTTATTGTTACCCTTCAAAAAATAAATATTTATCAATAAATAAATATATTATGATCAATGAATTCATTAATATGCAATAATTTTTTCCCGCAATAAATTTGTCAATAATAATGGCATCTAACCACTCAAACTATGATACAGTAATATGAACAGTTGATTCCTACATTGTAAGTTTGTATTGAGCGCTCTAAAATTCTTTACTGCTGTGTAAGTCCTGTGCACCCCACCAGCTATGTTTATCTATTATACGAACGTATGCGTCGATTGAGTATCCTATTGTATTGTACTAATTTGTGTGAGCGTCAGCATTTATAATATGGGAATTCTTTAATTATTTATTATAACCCTTAAATTTCGTTATATTACAAACATTGTCTAAGCACTATTATTATAGTATAGCCTAAATGTATATTAATTGGAGTGATTTAAACATTATAAGCAATTTGGGCTGAAAATTGGAAAGGAAAAATAAGTACATTATAATAATATGATAGTCATTTATTGTACTTTATTATTCAAAATACTTAGATTTCGGACCAATGCCACTTTCTAAATATAAATTAATACACCAAACCGTTAATTGTGATGAACGTAGTTACAAAAGAAATAAAACACATATAATTACCCATACTAACCTTCTCCATATTTCTCCCGCTAGTATAAGGTAATGAGTAACTATACGATTTATGAAAGTGTCCAAAGCCGAATGTCGAATACTTGAATTAAGGTTAAAAGTTATAATTTATTATCACCAGAGCAAATATTTTACAGGAAGTATTTTACTTTTTTAACTGGATCCAAACAACAACAAGCAAAATTTCAAAATATCCGAAAAATAAATTTAAATGAACAAATTGGTGATAGGTAGTAAATGTAAATAAGATCAATACCATTTGAGAGATATAAATGTTGAGAGGAAGCCTTAAGAGTGAAAGATTCTAAATATGTCACTAGCGAACAAGTTAATGATAATTCAAATATCTTTCAATCCATGCAACATTTCGCACGATTTGGTAGATCTCGAAGTGACCAGCGTCGCCAAGCGCAATAATCAGCGATGGCTTAGCTAGTAAAAATAGCAACAAGCACGACCGACTTAAATTGAGTACTTTATATTGAGACCAAGATTTGACTATAAAAACTATTTTCGAGAAATCGTAAAATTTTCATATTTTAAAATAATTATTTATTGGTTGACACCCGAATTTGCTACAGAGGTTTGAAGTGCGGTTCCCTTTTATAATCGCTTCTGCTCAAGATGTAAGGCAAGGGTGTAAAAAAAACACAACATGTTTTATCACTATGAATCAATAACATACAATATAAAATACTAACTAAATTGAATTCATGTAATACTGCAAGCTTAATAATTTTTTTCCCGCGCAAAAAATAAATTTGTCAATTAAAAAAAAAACAACTCCATATCTATCACTATATATATAATATATATATATATATATCTATAAGAAATAATAAATTAATTTTTTTTAACGGAAAAAGTATACTTATTTTACTGAAGATTGTCTGAAATAGCAGGATGGTGGATAAGAGGATTTAAGTAATATAAAGGTTTGAATTAAGGGAACTAGAGTGGGTAAAATTCTTTTTAGAATAAATGCAACCGATAACTAATAAAAATTTGGGCTTCTGTTAGAGTAATAGCAATTAAACATTAGACAAAAATAAATAATGACACTTTTAAGCCTATAACCTTTAGATTAAAATTGAGCAAAAACTAAATTTTAGTATATGGTTAGTATAATCGCGGCTCGATAAAGTAGACTACTTTATTGCCGTATTATCCGTTTAATTTTCACTTTAATCTTGCGCGAGAAAAAGTCATTTTTCTCAAAACACCAAAAAATAAAGTCTAAAATTTTTTACTAGTTTGCGTAGTGAAAAGGTTGGAAATAAATACAAAAAAATGAATATAAGTATAAGTTTGCCACGATATAATATGCATATTTGGAAAAGACGTATAGTAATTTTACCATTTTTATAAGAGAATAGTTGTCACAATGTTGAGATTTAATCATGGTTTGTGCACTATTTGAGTTGTTTGACAATTAACATTAAAAGAACATTGTAGCAAATAAATTTATGAACACAGGATAATCTATATTTCAAATTTTCCAATCAAGGAATCTTTTTTTATTATAATTTAATTATTATTAAAAAATATTATACAGCTTAGATAATTTATTTTATATAATAAAAAAATAATGGTATTAATATCCTTGCCTTATGTGAAAAGCTGATGTGGGGAATCTCTTTATATGTGTAAATGTGACCACAAGAACTATGTTTACAACCCAATCACTTTATCATCAAAGATATCATTCTAATAAAACCCAACAATGGGACACCAATTAATTAATTACATATCAAAGGTAATCACCACACGCACATAACTCAAACAAGCATTACATAATACTTCTGGGTGAAGATATTAACTTCTCAAATTAATTACAAAGAAAATTCATTGATGATGAGGACCAAGATTTGTCTGGAGCATCAAAATTAGGAGCGATGCAAGGAATGAAAAAGTGTAAAAAAGCCTGTGTTTATATATTACATATTTTAGTGGTGCGTTCAAGGAACATCAGGTAGTTTTCATATAATATCTCCATTTCCGGGATTGAGTCTTAGTCAAACACTGACGAACAAAAAGTATAATATGAATAATACGATTAAGTTGAAAAAGGATTTTCTAATATTTTTATGTATATCTGGATGTACTCTTTGACCAAAGAGAAAGAGTCCCACAGGTTGCTAAATTACAGTTATTAAAGGAATTATAATTAAACGGCACATTTCCATGAGAATTGAAGAACATAATAACAGGAGCTTCTCCGTTGGTATATTATTACTTGTTAGTCTATTTATATTGCGAAGTAAATAAAAAATAAATAGTTATGGATCAAAAATATACTTACGCCATATAAGCACTTTTGAGGAATAATCTCTCAGTATTAATATATTCTATAAAATAATTTAATTTTTTTTAACGAAAAAGTATACTTATTTTACTGAAGATTGTCTAAATATCAAAAAAATTTAAGAATAATTTTTGAATAAGTTATTCTTTTAGAATAAATGCAACCTAAATATTGGCTCTGGTTAGAATGCAATTACAAGGCGATAAATACTTGAGCCAACCTTGAAATTGCAAAACTGATTTTTTATAGGTAAAACTGTCGTGTGCTTATGCCGATAGTTTATTTCTTTTTGCCGCGAAACCAAAAAGCTTTGTAAAGTTTCTTTCGTGAAAAGTTGGAAATAAATAGAAAGTAATGTCCATAATATGATTTGGAAACTAATTACCAATTTTATAAAAAGTTCAGTTGATTTAATCATGGTTGTTTCCATATTTGACATTCATAACATTTAGCAAATAATTAAACTGGATCAATTCAATTCAATCAGGAATTTTTATTTTTTATATTATTAAAAAATATAGTAATAGATATTTTTTATAATAAAAAATAATGGTATAATTATAAATGTAGAACTATGTTTAAACCATTTATCATCAAATATCATTCTATAATTAATTAATTAATTAGTAATTGAATATAAGTTACATAATATTTGGTGAAATTTCAAATTAATAGGAAAATTTTGAGATGAACAGTTTTCTAACATTAAATTAGGAGCATGCAAGGATGAAGTTGAGAGGGTGATTATATAATATTTAGTGTGGTTCAACACGTATATAGTTTCATATTATTTTGTCTTAGCATTTGGAACAAATAAAATAATACGAGTTAAGTTGAAAAAGATTTTTATATTTTTATGTAATTATTCCTTTGACCAAAGAAAGATACATTGCTATAATTATTAATTATAATTAAACGGAATTCATCAATTGAATGAACATTCAATTTCGTTGTTATTACTTGTTAGTCAATAATCAATTAATAAAAATAATAATTCAAAATACTTAGTAAAAATAAATTGAGAAATATCTAATTTTTAGAATGAAAGGAGATTGAAAGAACTTTGAATTAATAAGAATTGATTTTAATTATTGGAGACAATTACAATTTTTTCAATGAGAGATTATAGACAGTTCGCACATGATCTCAACCCGTTTCACACTCCACACTATCACATTACAAGATAGATTTTTAGCATATTCAACGGTGGAATTTTTATTTTGAACGAATGCGATAGAAATCCTTTTTTGACGGTATTATAATTGCCCATTCCAGTTTAGATTAATACAAATATTATTAGCTTACATCATCATGACTTGTAATATTACTATTTTATCCACTTCTCACTCTGCTGGGCCTCTCATTTGGCTATGATCACAGATACGGTGCGTTCCAAGCACAGATTTCAGAGATTCATTGGTGATTACGTTCCTAAACACACATGTCTACAGGTCAACAACAGTGGTGAAAATTAAGTTTATAACCTGTAACTATAACAAAACCTGATTTACAGAGGTTACGTAATTAGCTGACAGCTGGCACTTATAAAATCCTCAATTCCCTTCCATATTAATTTATTTTTTCAACCTCATATCGCCGCCTTTCTTGCTCTCAACTCTGTGAAGGAATACTTTCTCGCAACATGGAAGAAAATCCAGATACCGACATGAGGTAGAAAGAAAACCTAAAGCTAACTCTTAAAAACTCTCCTTAACACCTCCCAAACTGAACCTAGAAAAATTTTCCTCAGGAAAAAGAAATGGACTCGACCCCGGTGAACTGGGAAGCTCTGGACTCTCTTGTCGTTGATTTTGCGAAATCGGAGAATTTGATCGAGGACTCTTTCTCTTCACCATCGCCATTATCTTCTCCTTCTCCTTCTTCCTCGTATGTCTCTTCTTCGTCTTATCATTCGAGATTGGTTATTCGCCAGATTAGACGGTGCTTAGAAGTCGGTGAAATTGACACCGCAATCGATCTTCTCCGCACTCACGCTCCTTTCATCCTTGATGACCATAGACTTCTGTTTCGGTTGCAGAAGCAGGTTTGTTTCTTGTGTTTTTTGCTTCTATTATTGCCTTTGTTGTCGAGAAAATGCAGTAAATTCGTTATGGCCTTTTGATTAATTGAAATTGATTTTAAGCGTTTGATTTTATTTTTCTCTTTTTCCTAGTCTTATAGGAAGCCACGCGGCGGAGTTCCAATTGTTGTTTGCTTTTATCATTATTAGAATTAATAGATTATTTTATTGATACTTTTCTCGGTTTCGGTTGAAGAAATTTATTGAGCTATTGAGGAGAGGGACGGAAGAAGCTAGAGATTCTGCAATTGAGTGTATAAGAACAGCTCTTGCTCCCTGTGCTCTTGATGCCTATCCGGTATGTATACCCTTTTTACTTTCTCATTTTTCCCTTTTTTGTTTTTTTTTGGTGTCGGAGCGATATTCCTTTGATTACATATTTTCTAGGCAATGATATTAAAGCATTTTTCAGAACCAATATAAATACAGCATCCAGGAACTTTACTTATTTTATTTTTGATATTGCAAATTGGCTCTTCTACTCCGTCTAGTTGTTCCAATAAGACTAGTTTCCGTTAAATTTTCTGAGTAGAGATGCCTTCTTATTGTCTCTTCAGCTTTAGTCAGTGACAACGTACATTGCATATAATTAAGGGCTTGAAATTGGACGAAGGGGCTCAAAGGTTATGATTAACTATGAAGTGTTTGGTAGTTTATCCGTTCAGTAGCGGTTAGATTGTAAGATGACCTAGAAGCTTATTTGCTTTCTATTTATGATTTTTTTTAAAAATTTCAATGGTAGTTTTTATTTCAAATACTAAATATACGTATGCGGCAGATAATATGCAAAATTCCTTGACAGATGTCTTTTAGCTGTCTAAAAAATGAATATTTGGATAATAAAAATTACATTTTAGCTCATTTTTAGCCATTTGTTAAAAAAAAAAAAAAATAGTAAAAACATAGAACAAAACTTCTCTAAAAAGCATAATGATAGTAAGAAAATAATAGGGAATGATAGGAACATGCTCTCTATAAAAAGATGGAAAAAGAAAAAAAGAAAAAGAAAAAGAAAAAACATGCCATGATGGTTAAATACTATTACCAGTTAACTATTGCATAGGAGCCGGCCTTTTCCCTCAAAATCTAAGAATTACAGCTTTCAGTGAAAAGCCAGCAAGTGTGCACAAAATCAACTACTCACCGATTACACTTAAAAGCTTATCTAAATGGGCAATGGACCTGCCACTTCGGAATAAATGAGTATTTGTTAAGGTTCACCATTTGCAATTTCTTGAGCTCTTAAATGATTATGAATTTTGAGGTGGGAATCTTTTGTATAACATTTAAATGTTCTGGAGAGCCTAATACAATGTGGCACAAATCTGTCTGATCTGGACAATGAACACAACACGATATGACATGATCAATTAATGATAATTCTGAGTCAACTTGATCTTATTAGACAAACCCAAAATTGACATACAGACAATAATTACTCAAGATTGCACTCCTATGAATGCACGTCCAAAAATGAATGGTTTGTATGAAGAACCCAACATCTTCTGGCTTGTTAAAGTCACCGATTGGTGGTTAAATGGCAATTCCTTTTCTAGATATCAAGATGGTATGATTTGGTAGTAATTGAAGCTGCTATCTAAAATTTTGCTTAATAATTTTCCATTTCCTCATTGTGGTGGAAATAAATTGAAGCTTTTTGGAGTATGAACCTGAAGTCATGATTTCTAGTTGGTTTTGTCTGAATGATGGAAGCACTGTTAAGCAAACGGAAATTTATGAAGTGTAAATTATATTTTCATTTCTATCTTTTTTTTTATTATTATTATTTTCATATTCCAAGGCAAAAGCCCCCCCCAACAACAAAAAACAACCAAATTAGAACAAAAATAAATAAAAACAAAAACATAGTTCCAAGAAAGGGGACCCATGAGCCATATTCCTCTCCAATCTGAGTTTTGCTCACATCCCATTCTCTATCTGGAAACTCATGTTAGCATTATACTTGGTAAACTAATTTGGTATTATATTAAACAATGAATCTTTAATGTGCTAGTTAATGATTGTGAATATGGGAACTGAAATAAATAATATTTATTTTATTGTTATTGGATACATGTGAAATAAGTATCCAAAAGTCTTTCTCTTGAAGTCCATGTTTTTTCTTTTTTTGGTCATTTCTGGGATCTAAAAAATGTTTGTATAATCTTTAAGGAAGCATATGAGGAATTCAAGCATGTTCTTCTTGCCTTTATATACGACAAAGATGACCAGAGTTCTCCTGTGGCAAATGAGGTGGGCTCTATCTCTTTTTTGGTCTTTTGGTATTCAATATGGTCCTATTAACATTTTTCTTCTAGGCTAAGCTTTCTTGGTAATCAATTATAAATAAAGGAAAAAAGTCTGGCATCAACTTAATTCTAGGATTGTGAGTGTTGTTCCTCAATGAGCATATGATCATAATCAAATTTGCATTTTTTGCCTATGAGTGGTACAAGTGCTAAGAAAACATATCTTCTGTGCACTTGTGACTTTAAATTGAAATGTGTTTCCGTTCTACATTTGTTATTCTATAGTTCTGCTATGGCTTATCTAGCTCTGTAATCAAATGATATCAACTCAAATGAGAACAATTCATCCCATAAAAGTGTATGCAGCATCTGTTCAGTAACTTTGATGCATTTAGTCTTTATGCTGGTACAAAATTATGATATGTGGATTGTGGAATTTGTTTAAGGATGATGAAACAAACTATCTTGGTTTTTGGTTTATAATGATATGCGGATTTGAGCTTGTGTATTTAAACATTTTGTTGCAAATAGTGATGATGCATATAAATGCAACAGTTTAGTGTGACAATTGAACTTTTATATTTTTCTAATCTGGATAAAATTGTTTTCTAATACCTCTTTTTTATTTTGAAAACAAACACTAAGAAAAACATATTAACTGCAAGCCAGTTTAAACTATGCATTGTACTTTGAAGTTTGTGCGGTGGAAAATAAAGCTGAGTCAGGTTATTTTTTGTGTGTCATATTTCCTATAGGAATTTTGGTGTTAGTTGTAAAGCATTCTGTAAGGATTACATGTGTTGGAGGTATAATTGGACATACTATTTATGTTTCAGTGGTCTGAGAAGAGGAGGTTTGACATTGCCGGATTGATGTCTTCTGTCCTAAGAGCTCATTTACATGCATATGATCCAGTCTTTTCAATGACATTGAGATATTTGATAAGGTTGGCCTATTTATTTTAGTTGTAAATTTTTGCTAGTTTTCTTTCAAATGCATTCATCATGCCAAGCATGATTGTCTTCAATGTTGCCCCAAATTTTGCAGCATACATAAAGGTTTTTGCTTTCGCCAAGGAGTCTCGTCGCCCATTTCAGATCTTACTGAAAGGTTGCTCCTCGAAGAGCGTGATCCTGCCGCTGTGCCACATGAGAGTTTGTATGAGGCACCTCCTTTTGATGAGGTGAGGTTCCTAAATTTAGGCCTTTGAGACAATAATTCAGTGTTCCTCTTGAGATGGCGTCTAATTTGGCTGACACGTGAAATTGGATGAGATACCTCATTTCATGTTCTTGTCTTAGGCCATTGCCGTGCCATAAACTCATTGCTTACAGTATGTTTTCCTTGGCATATTTTTTTTTTTTTCTTATTTGTGTATTTCATGCAAATTCAGGTGGATATACAAGCTCTTGCTCATGCTGTTGAGCTTACAAGACAAGGGGCTGTTGATAGCTTGAGATTTGCTAAGGGAGATCTGTTTCAGGCATTCCAGGTACGTTACTATTTCCCATATGTACACAAATAAAATTTGTTTCATCTTATGTCTAAGTTTTTCTTAATTGCTATTCACTGTATTGAAGCACTATGTCGGTACACACCTGGGAGGTGTTAGATAAGTGGCTGGCCAATATGTTGACGCATTATAAAAATTTCAAGTTTATTTCTGCTTGGCTCTTTGGACTTTGGACTTAATCCTATCCTATTGGGAAGGCTGATGATTAACATGACTCTTTGATGTGACCAATATATGTACAATTTGAAAATTTTGAGTGTTCAAAAAATTAATTTGGAATTTGATCCTGCAAATTTGTCAGAACTTTCTGCATTCCTGTATCAAAGAGAGGGTAAGCAATGTATTCAGGACTAGAGTTGATCACTAATAACTTTTATATTTGTGTGATTTTGTGTATGCAAAGATCATAGTCCATAGATTTTTATTTATTTATTTTTTTTTTGTGAGTGGCTTGACCATGTGATCTTACCTTTTGTTTTTCGTGGTGCTTTTACGGGATAGAATGAGTTGTGCCGGATGAAATTGGATGTCTCCATGATTGATGAGCTCATCCGCGAGTACTGTGTTTATAGGGGCATTATAGATTCTGGTTTTGCTCCATCTTCTGGTGATTTTCAGACTTCCTATCTTATATTATGTTTTCATTTTGAGTCTCTCTCTCCCCTTCATCAACTATATCTATGACCCCATCTGTCTCAGGAATGCAAACCCCTTCTGAACCTTTAAAAGTCAATCAACCAGAGCCTGGCTTTTGCTCATCTAGGAACTCCTCTCTTGAAGTGGATAACATTACCAGTAAACTATCAGATGCTGAAGCTTCCATCAGTGATACTCATATGGATGCTTCTCCAGAAAATAATGTTGATTTGCATTGCGCACAAGGAGGTGATACTGAGTTAAGATATGCTTGTGAATTAACTAGCAATTGTGAAGATTGCAGCACCAGTGGTTCACATCAAACTGGAGTTTCAAGAGTTCTACAGAGAAGCAGAAGCTATGCTACTGGTGAAAGGAGCAAACGCAAGCGATGGAGGGGTAGACAAGATGACCAAGATTATTTTTCTGGAGTTTCTGTCAATGGATGCAATAAGAAAGATTTTAATGCTACTGCAACCTGCACAAATATATCAAAGGGACAACAGGTATCATAATTTATTGTGTTTTCTTGTGATAAATTTTTCTCTAATAGAATATTTTTCGCAGGACTTTGAAAAACATTCCTTATTGAACCTCAACGATAGGGAGGATAAATATGAGATTTTGCTGGGGATGAAGGAATTGGCAAGTAGAGGAATGGCTGCAGAGGTTGTGGAAGAAGTTAATGCTCTAGATCCTCATTTTTTTGTGCAGAACCCTATGTTGCTTTTCCAATTAAAGCAGGTGATATTCGATCTTATATTCATTGCTGAAATTTTCATTGATATATTGTCAATGACATTATTTTTCACATTTTTTGCCGGGTGCTTCATCTGACTTGTTTTTACTGGTCATAGGTTGAATTTCTGAAGCTTGTAAGTTCTGGTGATCATTCGGGTGCACTAAGGGTTGCTTGCTCACATTTAGGTCCCTTGGCTGCCAGTGATCCTTCTCTGCTGAAGCCCTTGAAGGAGACTTTGTTGGCATTGCTCCGTCCTAATGAAGATGAATCCGGAAAAGGCTTGCCTTTACATGCTCTCGCAACCTCACTCCAGGTATTTTACAATTTGGTGGACTGACTAGACAACAATTCATTATTAATGTTGTCTTCCAATGAAACTAAGTGAGGACATGTACTTATTGGATGTTACTGATAGAAGTGTTTTGACATGGGCACATTTTGTCAGAAAAGAAATTGCAAAACTGAATTATGATTATTCACGCTAATTCCAGCAGCTAAAGTGGTTCTCAATTGCATATTTGAATAGCAGTGTCATGGTTTATCATTAGGAAACAACTGAGTTCAGGGTTTTGGCCTTCTTCTTGTGCGAATATGGTTCTTTGTTTTGCTTCCAATGACATGCTAATATTCTTTTGCAATGTCCTAAAGTTATTATGCTTTACTATTCCATTGTTAGTTGTAAACATTTTAAGGATTAAAGGCATGAACAAGTTAAAGAGACAATTTGACCTTTCCTTTTGTGGGGAGGATGCACGATAAAGTTTTATCAAATCTTAAGGTGCACTTCCTAAATGGCTTACTGAAATTCTGTTAAAAAATGTGCTGAAAACAAATGTGCATTTGCTTTCTCCGCTGACTGTTTAAATTTTTTTCGCCTATAATTTTTTTTAGTTTCACATTTTAAAAGCAACTTGGCATAAATTAAGCGATTACAAAGTTCTAACTTCAGCATATTTTATGTCATGGTACAAATACAAGCATTAGGTTATTGCTATCTTAACAGTGTTATATTTAATTGGTTGTCATATTTATATGCACTAAAGGTTCAATTTTAATGAGTTGGACAGGTAGCAATTGGTAGGAGGCTTGGTGTTGAAGAACCACAACTTATGAAGATAATGAGAGCAATGCTTCACACCCACAATGAGTGGTTTAAACTTCAAATGTGTAAAGATCGCTTTGAAAGTCTTCTAAGGATTGATTTCTTGAAAGAAGTTAATAGTCCCATGCTTTCTGCTTGTTCCATGTCAAAGTCAAATGCTGATAGCTGCACTCAGGGTTCCTCCCAAGTTACAGTATCTTCAAGTGCTAGGTTGTCTGAAGATGGTAGCAGTCCAACTCAAGTGTCTTCAAGAGATGTTGTCTGTGATGAAAATGCAATACTGAAAGTTATGGTAAGTTGCCACTCCCCGCTAAAAGCTCACACCCAAGCAAAATTATGCAGAAAGCAGAAACTACAGAATGAACTACTGATTCACCTCATATAGTCCATGAATCAGTTAGGATTTCATTTGTATGAGTAACCTAGCTCCTATCCCTGGTGGGATGAAAACATGGAATCCGAGACCATCTTCATAATGACACTAGGCCAATGAAGGCATATGTATTCCAGTTTCATCATGATCCATAAGCCTGTTTGGCATAGCCATTATGAATAACATAATTTAGGCAAAAAGCTAAAAAGGGTATTACATTGGCTGTTGGATGCCCTTTTTTGGCCTAAAACTGATTATGGTAAAACTCATTTGATACTTCTCCCATAATTAGTTTCAGTCCCAGAAAATCATGATACACTATCCATTCGACCAATATAGCTATTTATAACTTTTGGCCCCAAAATCAGCTCTGTGTCCTGACGCATCTCTCCACAGTGAGTGGACTTCTTTTTCCTAGACAAAGACAAGAATCATCTAACTTTATCCATATTACTATTAGGAAAGCATTTCCTTAGGTTACAATCATGCTTGCAGTATAGGGAACAGAAGATAATTTTAGGGATTCCATCTCAATTAATAGATAATGGGATTTGTGTTTTCTTTTGTCTTCTAAATTTCCATTTCAATAAATAAGTCTTCGGTCTAGCCTTGAGTAATTATTTTAATTTGGGTTGATGCAGGAATTTCTCGCATTGCCAAGGGCTGATGCCATTCATCTCCTTTCACAGTATAATGGAAATGCTGAGACAGTCATCCAGCAAATATTTGCATAGTTTGGAATCTGATACTGTATCATAAAATTTATTTATTTATTTATTTTTTTGTACGAATATTATTTTATTCAATTTATAAAAATAGGATGTAGATATACGAAACGCTGCGAATTTGCATGAGGGCCGGTAGTCTGTTACAATTTGCCAAAAGGGCACAGCGTTATTTTTATTGGTATGCATTTTCCATAAAGTCTGTTTTTGACGTTAATGATCGACTGTTGCTTCTCTCTTCTTAGCTATTCGAGCAAAATGGTGTTTCTATATGTGAAGCAAACTGTACGCCTACGTGTTCTGTTAAGGGCATTTGTTCAAATGAAGTGTCTTTATGTCAGTCGACTTGGTCTTTAAGCCATTTCACGTCTTAAAGCAAGGAGGCTTGGAAGTTAAGGAGGACTCTCCAAGTGGGCACAATAATTAATATACAAAGCTGAGGTCTGTCCTTGCATAGTTCATTAAATGACAATTTATTTTAAAGAAGAAAAAAGCAATGCAAACAATTGGGTACATTTGAAGATTACATGTAATACAATTGTTTTTATTTTACGTACGTACTACTTGTTATTTCCTTGTATTTTTCTCATATTGTGCTTGCATTATCTCTATTGTCTAAATTCTGCCCCGTCACTGAATACGCATATATTTATTTTACTTCAGAGTCCTTAGAGTGTGGTAAATTTGATTCACGAAGCTTCTTTTCTTCTTTTCATCTGAAAGTAGTTTTGCAAACCTGCAATGCAATAATAAGAAGTGTGATTATTCAGTTTATTCCATAATATAAAGAATTTAAGTTTTGTTTAATAAGCCCAAATGAAAGACAAAAAATTTTCTACCAATTTATATAGTAAATTAGGAACTATTTTTTGGGCTAGAGGACAAGGCTATCCATAGCACCCTTCTCTCCGTCATTGATAAAATATAATATAATGTAAATGCTAATGTAATAAAGTATATTTTTTATATTTAGTGACACTATATCACATTTCATCAGGGTGATTATTCAGTTTTTCCATACATATATCGAAGAATTTTAAGTTTTGTTATTATAAGCCCGTCAAAATGAAAGGACAAAAATTTCATACCAATTATATAGTATTAAGACTATTTTTGGCTAGAGACAAGGCACTATCCATAGCACCCTTCTCTCCTTCCGTCAATTGATAAAATATGAGTGAGAGAGGGTTAAGAATGCCTAGATGTAACAAGTATAAATTTTTTATATTAGTGACACTATAAGTACATTTCTCTAGGGTTTATATAAGCTGTATTGCATATACGGAATAAATGTCAAATGGACAAAAACCTTTCAAGTGCTTCATGGTAAGTGCTCCGCATTTTTTCAACCTGGTTCATAAAGTCCAGTAATCAAATTCACAACGTGGAAAATTGGACTCTTCAACAAGTTTTTCTCCAACTTAACAAGAATCTTCTTAGTTCTTCCTGTTGTAGACATAATCCACAGAAAGACAGGTTCCACCTTGGGGCAGTTTGTGATCTGAATTTGTAGCCAACATCAAATAGGGTAACTTTCGAATTTGAACTCAGTAATCACTTAAGTTTTCACAGTTGGAATTTAAAGCAGAAAGAATACTGAAATCAGAAAAAAATCTGAGCTAGTGTTGCATAGGTGATACTACAATCAACTCTGAGATAGATTTATCTTTCAGATTGAAGGGCTCGAACTACAATCAGATATTGTAATAATCAACCATATCATAGCGATTCTTAGCTTTAAGCATAGTAATGTCCTGATTAATGGAGTAGAACGGCCCTTTGTAATAATTAACCAATCTATCAACCACGCCCATTTTGAAGCCACTTTAGCTTTGAGCTTTCGGCAGTCTGAGATCCCTGTCCCCAGAGAAATCACAAGGAGACGTTCATAGTCCATCCGCCTTGATAGGTCGGAAAAAATCTGGGTTTCTTCGTTTATTGTCCCTGTTTCGTTACTGTCTACTAATGCAACCAAAAGTACTGCGATGAAATTTAAACATGGGGATGAGATTTTGATTTTCCTTTTTAATTACTGATATTTGGGAATTTTCCTTTTTCTTAACTGGGTTATGTAGCAGGCCCAGCCACCTGATCAATAAGTGTTAATTCTGAATATTTCCATCCCTGAACTCTTTGATTCTTGAAAGAATAAGGCTGGAAAGCAAAGTTGGTGCTGGCAGATGTACGCTATGCATACATCTGAAAGTAAAGCATCCAAGGAATTGGGATGGGGTCTCCTCACCTGCATAAACATAAATGGGCATGTTTCCTGAAGTCGTAATACATATCACCGATTTTCTAAGCGAGAAAAAACAAATTAAATCTTGAGAAAGAACGCAGGTTCATGCAAATATTGTAAAAATTTAACATTTTTCTTTTTGTGTGTGCGCGATTACTTGTTTTTCTTTACATAGCAATAACTAAAATGTAGGTCCTTTCCTTTTCGTTTGCAGATTTGAAAAAGAGAAAAGAAGAAGAAAAAAAACTATTAAAAGGTCTCGTAGAAATGCTTTTATTTCAGCAAATAATTTGTATGATACATATAAAGTTGTTTTTTTTTTTTTTTGGTTAATTAGAATTCCAATTGATACTGGTGCATATGTTATCCAATAATCTGGCAAATTAACTTCCAATATCAAAAATTCGTTGGTCCAAAAAATGATTAATTAAATGGTTTATTCAAAAACCATATAATGTATAAATTAATAATTGCGATAGTTATGAACTGATATGAAGAGATAGTGGTAGGGATCGGAGAGTGTCTTGATGTCAAAAGTTGGGTAACCACATGGTCCAATGGTTTGATGGCAACTTTGTGGTCCTTCAATATCTTACTTGAATTATGCTTGTGCAGATACTTCCCCCAGATTATATTTGGGGCCGGCATTAGAGCTCTCCATAGATTTACCAGCCAAGCTAGCATGCCCCACTGCACACAAACACACACACACACAATAATGTATTATATTTTAAGGAATTTCCAGTGAAGGAGCGGAGTTAACTGATTGCGATACTTATATAATATATGTACGTATGTTATTCCTTTGATTACTTTTGTTGTGGGAATTATTTTGTTCAAGGGCTATTTTGAAGGTAACAATAGGGCAGCGTAAAATCTATTGAGCAAGCACAATAGGGGACGGTCCTGTTCAATTGGCTGCAGCTAACATGGCAGCTATGAGAACCAAACCAAGTACTTTGTCTTGCTGCAATCCAGGTCAAAAAATAAGCGCTAGCCTGCACGTCCTCGACAGAAGCTCCACTAAGCACATCTGCACGTAGTAAAGTAACCATATAGCTATTTCATACTAAAAATTGTTTCAAGCTGGCGTATGAGAACGGTTTCTGCATGATTTTACTAATTGGAAAAATGTAAAATTCATTTTAAATATAAATACCTCTAATCCAATATAATAATAGTTATAATTCAGAACAAAGTTGAGAAATTTTCAAGTCAATAAAATTATTAAAAAATTAACCTGGAGTTTTTTTAGATTTCGAGAATAAGCAAGAATGACACAGGGATGATTCCTCTTACACCGGCGCACCTGGCAATGCTAAGGACAGTAATGGAGATACCGACATTTTGGGTGTGTTGGAAATTTTGGAAACATATCCTATCGACTCATTGTTTAGAACAATGAAGGATAGACAATTGATCTCGCGCGGCTTTAGTTTTCTGGGTCTGTCCAAATATATTATAATAAGTAATAATAGTTATATATATAAGTATAATTAGCTATATAATATATATACTATAAGTAGGAAGTTTTGAGCTTTAGCAGGTGCCAATTCAGGCTGGAAGTATATATAGGAATTTGACTTTAGCAGGTCCAATTCAGGCTGGAAGTTTTGCTTAATTGATAATGTATTTTTCTTACTAAGGCTGTAAGATGTGGCTTCACGTAATTGGAAATATTTAGAATTGCTTTCTTTCTCAATAAATATTTAGAATTGCTCAATGGATAACATTCTGTTGCTTCTTTTTAATGAACCAAGCAAACGATTGAAGGGTTCACATCTGTCTCCTTTAATTTTTTAAATTAAATCACATTCTTGCAGAATCTTTGTGCGATTAAAAGAAAAGAAATCAAACCCTAAAATGCAATTACTTTGTGTTTAACTGGAGGAATAAGTTCCAATATTTTATAATTAGATTAATTGGCTCTACATTATGTTGTGGGTCCCTCCGACATGTGGGATCCACACGGTTTTAAAAAGAAAAAAAAAAGGAACAGCCTTTTTTTTAAAGAAAAATAACGCGTCCAGTCGGTGGACGCGTTATTAACGCGTCCCCTTCTACTATAAATAGGAGAAGATTTTCCCTCAACTACACACCGCATAAAGAAGAAAAAAAAATGTAGAAAGAGATATTTAATTTTAGGAATAGTTTTCTAAAACTAAGAGAGAGAAAAATAGTAGGTATACAAAAAGATTATATAAAAATATATTGGGCCTAGATACCACTTGCCTCAGCTCTGATACAACTTGTTGGTTCCTCACAACCAATTAAAAGAAAATTAACGCAGCGGAATAATTAAAATTATGAGACACAAAAATTTACGTGGTTCACCCTTAACTGTTTAGGGCTACATCCACGGGACAAACTCCGAATGATTCTTTGAGACACAAAAATTTACGTGGTTCACCCTTAACTGTTTAGGGCTACATCCACGGGACAAACTCCGAATGATTCTTCCACTATTAAAAAATAGTAGATATACAAAGAGAGTAATACAAAAATAGTGGCACTCAAAAGTATTTCCCAAAAAATCCCAAAAATAATTTCCTCACTATTTTTCTCTTTCCTAGTTTTAGGAAATCCTTCCTAAAACTTGATAACTCTTGTTCGCTACATTTTTGTTTCTTCTTCTGCTGTGTTTTTTGCTTGAGGCTTCAGTATAACTCATTCACGGCTCTCCATTTTGTCAAAAAAATTGCCTGCAATTGGTGAGTTTCCTTTTTCTTTTCTTTCTTTCTTCAAAGAACACGTTTTCCTTCTTTTTTTTTCTTTTCAAATGTGTGTGGATCCCATTTGAGTGGGCACCGTCACAACAAATCTCCCCCTGCACACTCAAGTGGGGACATTAGTCATACTCTCCATCATTCCTGCAGCTAACCAACAATATTCGACTGTCACAAAATATCTGATATCGTTCTTGATGAATTCCGCGTTCATTTAAGAATTTCTTCATCCACAGCAACTCCTTGCATGCTTCAGTAATCTTGACTGCCACGACATGGCTCTCCCTACAAATGTGATTGGATATCCTGAAAATCCATTTCACTGCAGTCTAATGTTCCTTTCCAGGAATTGAAAGAAACCGACTCACTACTCCAACTGAGTGAGCAATATCTGGCCGTGTACAAACCATGACATTCATCAAGCTTCCAACTGCTGAAGCATATGGTACAAACCATGAGACATTCATAAGCTTCCAACGTGCTGAAGCAATATGGAATCCTCATTCATCAAGCTTCCAACTGCTGAAGCATATGGAATCTTTTCTATTTCTTCCTTTCTCCATCCGTAGAAGGGCACTGTTTAGAACTCAATTTAAAGTGATTAGTAAGAGGACAACTAACCATTTAGCGTTTTCCATTCTAAGCCTTTGAAGTACTTTCTCAATGTACTTCTCCTCTGACAACCATAATTTCTTGGCTCTTTGATTTCTTGTAATCTTTATGCCAAGAATTTGCTTTGCTGGTCCCAAGTCTTTCATGGCAAAAGACTTACATAGCTGTTTCTTCAAGCTAGTAATTCTGACCAGCAATCAACATATCAACCACATGGAGCAAAAACAATGTAGTCATCATTAGAGAATTTCTTCATAGAAAAAAAAAAAAAACAAAGTGATCTGAAGTAGTCTTTCTACAGCCATGCTCCCCCATAATAGACTCAAACTTCTTGTACCACTATCTCAGTGCCTGCTTCAGCCGTATAGGCTCTTCTTCAGTTTGCAAACATAATCCTCTCTTTCTTTTTTCTACAAAACTCTTTTGGCTGCTCCATGTACATTTCTTCTTCCAAATCTCCATGTAGGAAGGTAGTCTTTACATCCATTTGCTCAATTTTTAGATCAAAATTGGAAGCCGTTCTGAACACTGTCCGAATGTATGTCATTTTACAACTGGTGAAAAGATCAAAATCAATACCCTTTCTTTGATTGAATCCTTTCACAACCAGTCTAGCTTTGAATCGTGGTTGGGAGCTAATCGGTGGGTTGGGCAGCTGTGGTTCTTGCCTTCTTGATCTGAAACACCCATATGTTTCTTCACCATTTGTTCTTCAAAGCTTTCTTGCCTTTAGGCAACTTCACTAGCTTAAATATTTCATCCTCATGCAAGGA